TATATATTTAATTTCATAATAGTAGCAGTTTTGATACTTATGCATTGCGTGTAAGCAGCTTATGTTGCAGCAGTTTGAAGTGGAGCCAGTATAAACTACTTTATATAATGATGGGTAAACAGCACCTTATTGTATAGTGTGTATTATATTTTTAAAATAAGATAAATATAGTGGAGTCTAATTCACACAGTTTCCCACTGAAAGAGTCATACTGTATGTAAGGTAGCATAAAACCAGAGCAGAATGGAGCCATCCGTTTCTCTTTTAAACTCTATTACAGAACCATCGTGTAAGTGCAAATTAAACTTATTATATAGCACATTTGAAGCTGAAGCTGTTGTGAAAAAGTGTGTTGCCGCAGAGTAGTAAAAATTATGTTGTGAATTGAACTAACAAGTTTAATTATTGAGGTTTAGACCAGACAGTGTTATTTATGGTGTGAACTTGCTTGAGCAATCTACATATGAAGCTAGAATAGAATAGAATAGAATAGAATAGAATAGAATAGAATGGTTTTTATTGTCATCATACACAAAGTACAACGAAATAAAAAAAACTATCTAAAATACAAATGTGCCTCACTATAATAACCTTTTTTTATATATGCTTCTACTAGTCATCTTAGAAGCACGAAAGGCTCCTGGACAACAGCTAGATATTTAAAAAATAAAATAAAATAAATATATGTTGTTGTGGCGACGAAGCCACACGCGCAGTCCCGCCCACTTCTGATGACGCGACCTCCTAGTAACGAGCCCTGTGATTGGTCGAGCTGTCGCACGGCCGGGGGTGAATTTTGTGAATGGCTTCAAAACTGACCGAAATGTGAAATGATTTATCGGCGCTTTGGCAGATGTTGTTTTTATTCGACGTGACGTTCTTCAGGACTGGATTGTAAAAGGCGGAAACGATGTCGGACGCCGAAGGTGCTCGCAGTCCGGAGCAGCTGAATAAATTCGAGAGACTGACAGGCAGGCCGCCGCTCGGTGTGACGTTAGCAGGTCGGTCAAAAACATTAGCAAGACATGCTAACAACGCTCTGTTGTCATTTATCACAGTTTATCGGGACCAATGAAGTCCGTGTGACTCAGGACGGCCTCTCCACAGTCTGTGTCACCTTTACATGTCAGGAGTTTGAACGTCACCGTTGCCTCTGGCTCTGCTAAGCGTTATTACATTCAGGCTAGCAACGTCCCGCAATTCTGCCTGATTCTCTTTTAGTAGCTTGTTACCAGTCCTATCCAAGCTAATATGTTTCACTTAGTAATAAATAAGGCTTGTACACTTATCGAAATATCCCCTCTTTTAGCTGTACAGCCTGTGAGGCCTGGCATTACATTGATTTTCAAGGTTCTAATGGGTTGCAAGCGTTTTAATGTGAATTTTCAGGTTTATTTAGTTTTTAATACATGAGGAGGTGCATCCTTTTAAAGCAAAAGAAATGCTCAGGTTTGACACGAGAAACTGCCTTGATTAGTTTTAGATGCATTCAGCTGCAAGGCTCATAGACTCGTCAGGTATGTTGTCAGTGCTGGAGGTTTTTGCTGCGTCCTTTTCCCCCGCAGCTGGGACACAGAGTACCATGCAGAAGTGGTTATACGCTCACAAGATAAACATGATTGAGATGATCTACTGTGTGTGAGAAAATCAGGAGAGGATAGACTACATTAACTACACTGAATAAATATATACATGCAAATGGTCCTCTGTTCTGGCTTACAGATAAAATCTCATGTTTGTTGTTGTGGCTAGAACCACATTCAGTTGTGCACAAAGACGTTTTTGAGCTGTTAAACTGTGGAAAGATGTTCAATTTAATCCACAACTTGGTCAGGTGTGGCTTTAAAGTGCAGCGTTCAGTTAGCGTCACCAACACACAGACATTCCTTTGACCAGTGACTATAAAATTCCACCTTTAAATGCAGCTTTATCAAAACTACAAGATGCCTCAGATGACCAGAGACAAGATCAGGCTGTTGGCATGCTGGATGCTGACATGTCTGTTCAGGTCATAACCAGGCACATAAATATTCGCAGCTCCACCATTTGTGGTCGAAGGAATCATTTCACACAGCTCTGGATGGACGTGTCTGACAACTTGATGTCACCTAAAATGTTTGCCAGCTTCACCAAGCCTTTTATCTACAGCGGGACAACATTCCACAAACAACATCGGTAGTCTCATTAACTTTCAAATCTGTGGCTCTTTTACATTAAGATATGACTATGGGATGTAAATGCTTGATACACTCTGACCTGTGATTTCTAGTCTATGACCACAGGCGTCATCATTTTTGCATATTGCTTTCATAACACATGTTATTGAGATGCTGTATGCTGGAACAACAGACACTTGTACGCTTTTGTTGAAAAGAATTGATAGAATTTATTACATTTCCCGTGAGTGTTCAATCTTAGTGTTGTGGTAAATCTTTAGTCTCGGTCATGGCTCTTTGTTGTACGTGACAGACACAATCTTGAAGTCATCCTCTGGGACCCAGTAATCTATAGTGCGCAGTCAAACTCTGGTCACTGTGACTGATGTTGACATGCAGCTGAAAAGAAATATGACCTCCTTGACTGATAGTCTTCATAGACAACTGCATGAAAGATTTATTTAGCTGTTCTGTGATATCATTAACTTTCAGAACCGAGCAGTTGCTATATGACATTCGGTAAGTGACGCTTTTATTCTTGTTTGACACTGAACTGAAACTCAAATTTGTTTAAACAGGTTTCATGTTTTGATAAATACACTGACATTTCTAAAAAAAAAAACTAAGTACAGTTCCTCTGAACATCCACAGTTTTGTTGTGGGAGTTTTTTGTGTCATTTTATCACAGGGCAGCAGAAATAACTAAGTGTACTGTTTATCTATTGGAGGCTTTTTCGCAACTTGTGTACTCTTACAATCATTCCTCTGTTTCCCACCATGTTGGGGCATTTTGTGCATTCATGTCTCACATGTGAGAAGTAAGAGAAGCACAATATCAGCTTTAAGCCTGTGATTTTCACATCAGAAAGTCTCATCACTCAGTAGCCATCTTAACACCTGAGCATTTATTTCAGGCAAACAAGATGTGTGATTTAATAGGAAGAGAGCAAAAACTGCATTTATAGTCACTGGTACATAAAAAGTACCAATTGCTAGTCAAAGGTTTGAACACTTTTCCCCAAAATATGGTCTGAAAAGTATATATTCTGCAGATTATGCTTCTTCTATGCATAAGCATTTTACAACATATGACATGTGTCATACAACCGCCATCTTTAGCATTTCTAAGATTTCTATTCAGGATTCTTTAAGTCACGAGTCTTTTGCTTATAATGTCTCTGACAGAAGGACCAGGATAGAAGTGTGTCATTGAATTATTTTATGGAAAAAAACAGAATACTGCCAACACATTCCAGCCAGAGTAATGCTTTGTGTTGTAGTCGACATTAGATTCGCACAAAAGTGGATATGCGGTCTTGTTACTTTGCTACATTCCTCTGTCTCTTCTATGTGCCCCGCTGCTGTGCTTTCACAATCGACTATAAATCCTGATCATTGAAAATACATTGGTCGGCTGAAACATCACAGCTGAGATGTAGGTAGGCCTCAGTGCTGTTCTCAGTACATCAAACAGAGGAAAATGATTAGACCTAATGTGCCACGTATTCTGCCATCATGTACCAACTCAGAAATCTGCTAATCCTAATCCCTCAGACCGGCCATGTCAGTATCTGGAATGGGGATGTTTATTTTAAAGCTTTCCTGCACAAGGTTGCAGATGATGTTGTGAATGTTAGCAAAGTAGTTTTACATGATAACGAGAATTGTGGAGTTCCCAGATTTTGTATTGTGACTCTGGCACTGTGTGATATAAATAGACTTGTTTAAAGTGTCACTTAATTTGAAGTGCACTACATAGGCCTATATTTGAAGAGGAGGACACACCTATTCCTCAGGGTAGTTTTTGTTTTCAGTTTTTCTTTAAGCAGGTGTGTTAAATAGATGGGGTGTGAACCAAAGCATAAAGAAAAGGTATCGCACACAGTTAGATAAGTCACTAGGCCAATATTTTAATTAAGCTCCAGCAGCTGGAACTGCACACAGCATGTCCCCGCTAACTGGGACCACTTTTATTTAACTGTTACTCAAGGTGGCTCAATGTTAATAGTGCGACCTCATAGCTATAATTGTGTTTCTTTGTGGAGTTCACGCGGTCTGGTCCCCTTATGCTTCCTATCACTGTTCATTCAGTGTCATGCAGGGACGCATCAGACTCATGATTTCTAATTTACCTTCTATCCTCACTCTCTAGCTTTGTTCCTCTCTTTCCAGGTCATCGTACTCCCCGTGCCCGCAGTGGGCATCGCTGTGTCGCTGACAACACTAACCTGTATGTGTTTGGAGGGTACAACCCTGACTATGATGAGTCAGGAGGCTCAGAGAATGAAGACTATCCACTGTTCAGGGAGCTTTGGAAGTACCACTTCGCCACAGGCTGCTGGCAGCAGATCCGAACAGAAGGCTACATGCCCACAGAGCTGGCATCAATGTCAGGTGAGATCTAATAGTTTTGAACATTTTAATACTTAATACTATATGTACTTTATTGGCATTGTTTACACAAAAGTAAATCCAGGTTTAGATTTTTTTTAAAAAGTGTAAAAATTGAATTTGGCTTGGCTGTTTTCCTTCAGCTGTTTTGCACGGCAACAACCTCCTAGTGTTTGGTGGCACCGGGATCCCCTTCGGTGAAAATAACGGCAACGATGTTCATGTTTGTAACGTGAAGTACAAGCGATGGTCACTGCTCAACTGTCGAGGGAAGAAGCCCAACAGAATCTACGGACAGGTACCCACAGAAATCGCCACGTTCATATTCGAAAATTGTAGAGAGCATCTTGGTTGTTGTGCTTCATGTGTCATCTCTAATAGGTTCTGAACCTTTGGTATTTATAGGAAGATGTCATGTTGAGCTTCTGGAGTCACAGACTTTGATTTAACAGTTACCACTTCATTGAGGCTGAATGTTTTTCCTCTTCCAGGCAATGGTCATTATAAACGGCTTCTTGTACGTGTTTGGAGGGACGACAGGTTACATCTACAGCACGGACCTGCACAGGCTGGACCTGACCACCAGGGAGTGGATCCACCTCAAGCCCAACAACCCACCTGATGACCTACCTGAGGAACGGTACGGTGGTGTGATTCATGAATGCGCTACAGCATGCCAGGCATCTTTTACATAACCTCTTGACATGGCTTGCTGTCACATGTATGTCACAGGTACAGGCATGAAATAGCACATGACGGACAGAGGATCTATATTCTAGGAGGAGGAACTTCCTGGACATCTTATCCTCTAGATAAGGTACTACTACAATTGTGTTCTAGCTGCTTTATTGCACTGGGAACGTTTCAATGGCAAATCACTGAACAGATGGCTGAAACAATATCTTTCTGTTTATGATCTATTGGCGTAAATCTGGATTAGATTTACTCGCACACTTGTTAGTGTGCCAAAGAAGATAAAAGAAAACTTGGTATGTGGCTTTACTAAAATACTAATGTGAAAGATATCTGTACACTGCAGATAATGCAAATAATTGCACATTAAAGAGGCTAGGAATAAATATGTCCTGTGTTTTACAAGGCAAGTTGCTTAAAATAGTGCTAAAGTGAAATGTTGACATGAGTCAGAAGTGTTTCACAGTATGAGCTGGAGTTTTGAAACCTTCTGAACCTGACAAAAACACTAGTGGGTGTGAAAGGCGTGTTTTCTTTAAAATATTTACCAAAATCACACCTTTTGTCAGAGCTGTAAACTGTAAAAACAGAGAAAGTCGTCTGATTTTCAGCCTTCCAACGGTGCTTGAACATAACTCATGTAGCTTACAAATTATTTTCATAAAAATCTGTTTATTTTGATTTTCAATTTTCAGAATTCAAGAAATTCAACTTTTGCTTTATGTTTATATGTATATATATATAATCCATGGCATTATAACCATGTCATACTGCACAAAAGACATTTTGGAACTCTCACTACTTCTAGCTACCGTTGTGCTGTTTCCATCAGAGGTGTAAAAATGAGCCCACACTGAGTCAAACTGTGACAGGAGGAAAAAAAACTGCCCAGAAACTGCTTGGAGTTTAGAGGGTTAAACAATGAATACTTACTTATGTTGCCATGTGAACAAATGTTTATTACAGTTTCCATTACAGTTTTTTTTTTGTTCTTGTGCACAAGCGTCACTATGGAAAATTGCTATTCAAACTCATGGTAAACATGTTTTCTTGAATAGATACATGCTTACAACCTGGAGACCAATTCCTGGGAGGAGATTACAACTAAACCTCATGAAAAAATAGGTCTGTATCCTGCAGCTAATGATTATTTAATCCTGTGCTGTCCTCATGCACACTGTTCTAAAATGTCTGTGCTTTTGACAGGGTATCCTGCTCCTAGAAGATGCCATAGCTGTGTGCAAATACGTAACGGTGAGAATTGCTGTACTGAAAAAAAATAATTCTGCTGCATAGCCACTATCACATGATAAGAGTGTATTTCACAAACGGATAAAACACCGGATTTAAACACCATCACTTATTTTCTCTGTGTTGCAGATGTATTTGTCTGTGGAGGCTACAACGGGGAATTGATATTAGCTGATCTGTGGAAGATCAATCTGCACACTTTCCAGTGGAGTAAACTACCAGCAGTGATGCCTGAGCCAGCCTACTTTCACTGTGCTGCTGTTACCCCAGTTAGTATAACACACTCTCTAGCCACTTTGTGTCTCAGTTTTACTGCTGATGTAAAGTTTAAAGAAGCAACAGAACTTCTTGCACTGACAGTAGCCACAATATAGATAATATACACAGCAAGTGAATTACATGACAGTTAAATTTGTTGTTGTACCTCGTCATTACTTCCTGGATAAATTATGTAAAGTTACAATTTTTATTTTCCCCATTGACCAACTACATATTACATGGTTTGCGGGTCTAATTTGTGTGCTGCTGTTCAGACCAGCCACCAATGATGCACCCAAGGGGGAGTTCAGAAGCTCAGGCTCTGTATATAATGTACGTGTTTGTCTCTTTGTTCCACTTTGTCCCCAGGCTGGCTGCATGTACATCCACGGTGGTGTGGTGAACATCCACGAGAACAAGAGAACTGGCTCTCTGTTCAAGATCTGGCTGGCGGTGCCCAGCCTGCTGGAGCTATGCTGGGAGAAGCTCCTCAAGGCCTTTCCCCATCTGACTTCACTCCCCACCATGCAGCTGCTCAACCTGGGCCTCACGCAGGAACTCATTGAACGCTTGAAATAGGCACCAGTGGAGCACGGACAGACGAAGGGCTGGGCTGGACAGCGAGGAGAGGAGGTCTGACAGAGCACAGAATTAAATTCGCCCTTCCCTTCCCCCTGCCTAACGTAGCCCCGCCTTAAAACCAAAAACAATGGGATGCCTTTTTTCGTTGTTTTTGTTCTAAATTTTTTTTGTAGTTAAGGTGACTATAAAGAAAATATATGTGGAATGTTTTACGGATTTTACTCAAACCCCACCCCCACCACCACCACTACCGTTCCTTTCATGATGCATTTGTGTCAAGCCAAGTACGGATTCTTGTTTCATCCTCCCAAACGAAGTAAATGGAAATCGTTTATTTTGCCATGTCAGGAAGTCAAACACTGTCTACTCCCATTTTTTTTTTCTCTAGTAATTTTAAGAATTCTGTGCAAAGGAAGAATGCATGTATATTTATTTAAAGGACTTAATCACTTTTTCGGTGGGTATTCTCTTGAACTGATATTGCTGTTTGCACATTTTGTCTTGCATATTTGTAGGCATTTACTTTTTCTTTTTTTTTAATAGATTCTACAAGCAAGAGTGACCGCAGTAATAATTTCAGTGTAAAAAAGGTGACAGAGAGAAGCTCTGCTAAAGAACCATGGCAGTGTTTTTGTCCATTTTAGCCAATTTAATACAGCTCACATATAGTTTTCATTGCAGCGGACATGTTGTGGTGTTTTAGATTCCCTAAGCTATAAAAATCAGCCCCAGAAGCTTGAAAATTGAGTGAATTCTGTAGTCAATCACACTGATTGGATTAAAGCAGACATGGTCTTCTAAATGAGGATTTATCAGTCTCCAAATTATTTTTATATTTGAACACGCATGCTGTCTGCCTGGAAGGAAAGAAAAACATTAAAAACCTCAAAAGACTAAATTGCACGCCTTGGAAATGGTCAATGTCATTTGTGAGAAATTGCCTAAAACATGCAGAAACACTGTGTGCTCTTCATTGGCATGCAAAGAAAGGCTCAATGCAGGTGTCTGGTTCCTTGTATTTCCTGTACTTTCCGTTACACATTATTACAGTCTTATCTGGAGAATCGTCTGCTGAAAAGGGAGAAGGAAGGTGGGTATCTCAGATCATTTCTTTGTGTTCGCTTGCAGCTTTCATTTGTAAACCAAACCATGCTACACATCACTGTGAATCTGGTGCTCTTTGACATTTATTTAAAAATGCTTTTGTTTGAATAAAGACTTAATTCTACTTTTACTCCCTCTTTGATGACATGACAAACGGTTTTGCACAGGGAGTTGCTTTCGTAGCACGCTTTTACAAACATTATACTGCAGTGCCTTTTTCAAACTTGTAATTAGGGTGACGTTTCATAAATACAGGCAGTATAAGATCTTGGCATGTATAGACAAAATTCTTTAGATTGGGGGAGCATTTTAACAATTCAATCATTACCTAGAATTAATAAATGTGCTGCTGGCCAAAATTTACATATTATTATCTTAATGTTGAAGACTTTGTATTTTCTTCCTCTAACTGACCAGACATAGATTTTCAGTCTAAAAAAAAAAAAACAATCTAAAAAGCACTTAATCAGTGTTTTAAAGTGGTATGTTCTTAGGTTTAATTTAACTGATGCCAAACGTTGTTGCAGAAGAGTGATAACGAGGAATGTGAGGTTGGGTGAGACTTTAGATTTTCAGTCAGGATGGTTTGATGCCCACAAATGCATGAATCTGCCTGCATTTCTTTACCTTGCCCCCCCTTTTTTTAAGTTATTCTTTCTGTTTGGCATTCCAAACTACCAGGTGTCATTACCTGCTTTTCTTTTTTTTTTTTTTTACATCAACATCAGTTCATTACTTGGAATGTTGTTTTAAAGATGACCTCTAAGATGTTGTACAGTAGGCTTGTATGAATGTTGTGTTGGAGTTCTGTCAATAAAAGTGTTCTGTAAATAGCTCCTTGCTCCCAGTTTCTTTTCGCTTGACTACTAAATGAGCACGATGCATAACAGAATTAGAGCCCAATTTGTTTTATGTTCTATTTTTAGAGCGTTTTGCATGAAATGCCTCTATTTTGAGAATGCAGATCAAGGTGGTAGCATGCATGCACTTGTCCTGTTTGGTGAGCATGCTGAATGCTGGTCATGAACGATGCAGAGGCACATGTTTCAAAAGAAAACATGTTTTAAAATCCAAAATGTATGCAGCGCAGCATTTGTTGAAGAAATAAAAAGTGTTTTTGTAGATAAGTTTTATGACTAGATACATTTATTATGTCTTATTACAACAAGCAACCACATATTGCAATTAATTAATTCACAGCAAGAAATAAATACCACAAATTTACACTTAAATGCAACAGCAAAGCAAAGTCCTTTTTTTTTTTTTTTTTAAGAACAACCAGAACAGGCTGTTTCATGCCTGTGGACTCACACCACCCAAAGATGAAGGATTAATGCATCTGTGGTGGTATAAACTTGTGGAGCCTCAGGATTTTTATTTGGCAAGCAGATTAACACGAGCGTGGAGAAGGAGCGAAGAAGTAAAGGGCCAGAAGGATGAGGTAAACCACCACAAGAGCCGTTCCTGCAGACAAAACAGTGTGGTTATAAACTTTATGATAATTCAATCTTAACCCATTTGGGCAGCAAGAAACAATCAGTCATTAAAAAGTCGACTTTTTGCACGGAGAACTGTTTCCACTCACTCCAACATGACTCACCCTGAAAGTAGTCACATTTTCCATCCATGAAGATGTAGTTGACCAGAATGACACTGAAGATGCTCGCCCAGAGATGAATGTCACTGAACACAAGCACAAATCCAACATCCTGGCGGGGGAAGAAAAGGAAGTTGTTGTTACAGAAACAGTAACTATAGTCCCACCTAACAAAATGTGACCAGCTTAACTTACATAAAATGCATTGAAGAGGATGAGCAGTGGAATCTGAATCATGCAGACCTGCACAGCAATACAACTGCCAACTTCAAGGCTGCAAATAGAAAGATTGCACAAGTTAATATGATGCTACTAAGAGCTTCAGTAGAAGGCAACCACACTTTCTTTTACGGTTCTTGAGGGCATTTCACCTCTTTCAAGGGGCTTCTTCAGTTCTAAATGACTTGGGGGGGTGACAATATATATCTGGGAATCCTCAAACATGTGAAAAACTGCCAGGCGATGGATGACTCAAGGTGTCAAGACTGCATTATAAGTACCTGATAAATGGTGTTGTATATCTCTGTATCAAGATGGTTATTTAGGTTTAACAGATAAGGGATAACCACATGCTTTTTCCTTTTACCTTAAGTACAAACTACAGCTGCCCTCACGTATGCACCGTTTCATTCTGTATGCATACAATGGAGCCATTCTACTTGGTGATAATACTGCACCTGAAACTTTGACTGTCGGTCATCTGTCAGTCTGTTCAAGCTTGTTTAAAATCATGCGAGACATTGCAACATATGTGACATGACTGCACAGAAGATTGTGCATCACAAAAGCCAGAAAAGTGTTCTGGCTTGCCTACTGCAAAATCTGACCAGATGTAGTAGCACATATGGCATACTACAATTGAAATCCTTTGTATTAGGACATTCTAAATCTTTGTTGGCATTCTGCGTAGTATGGAAGTATGGATACTGGAATGTCCCCATAAATCCATCCATGTAAAATTTGAACAGCCATCTTTAAACAGATGAGACAATATAGTGCATCTCCTGTGTTATCTTAGTATTATTAAGGATCTATACAGCTTAAAATTATGTTAAAAACACTGTTCTTCAACATGGCCCAGTCTGACTCTGGTATAAACACCTGAGGGATCAATATGTTGTTTAGATTCTATATGAAAATGTTTACATGGTGTGCTCTTGTAATATTTTCCATTGTTCAAAATTGTAGTGTCGCATTTGAAGACTGTAACAGCGATGATACATGATAACAGCACATTGCACTCGTACCTCAGGCTGATATTGTTTTGAAGTGCAAACTGGATTCCATTGACAATCTCAGGAAGCTCTGGCACCATGGCCAACACTGTGACACCAATGAAGTACTGCAAGACAAGAGAATACGCCTCAGTACAACAAAACTCAACCAGGCAGACGAGTCACACCCCGAAACATATCATCATTATATTTAACAGAACTTTATCGAGTACATGAAGTCTCCATATATACGATGCATTTCTTTTTATCCCACTTCTTGCAAAAAAAACTACAGTTCATCTGTGTGGTTAACATCAGTGTTTCCATTCCACGGATTCAGTTAAATCTTTAATAAACGGTTTAAAAAAATTTTTGTGAATCCAAAAAACATGATCCTCTTTAAAACTAATGCATTCTGAATACCTGTGAGATGGAGGAATGGGCCAGAATGGGCTCGATGTTCTCAGTGCTGAGATCAGCACAGCAGGCCATCAGCACTGTGGCAACAATGAGCACTGCAAGAGCTCTCCACCGAGACCAGTGGACAACGTGATGACCTGCGGGTGACATCCACACTGTAAGCTCATAAACAGGTTTTTTAGCATAGTCATTATGACCTACCCTACTATTAAGGGAAGTTGATCTCCCCCATTATACAGTTAAATCCAACAGTTTGGGCCCTCAGGGAGAAATGACATGTTATATTTTGCTCATTATGTTAAAAGAAGAAGCTACCCCTGTGGTAAAACAGTTACTACTTCATGAAGATAGTAAAAACAACTGCAGCATGTGGCAGTAAGTATCTGCACAGCTCACTCTTTTTTTGCAGATCCCTTGATGCTCTTAGATATTTTTAGCTCGTTTTGAAAAGCATGCTTAGGAATTTCTCATAGATTTCTGGGGGAAGTGTGAGGAGAATTCCAAAAGCTTTAGCTGGTGTTTCTTGAAGTAGTTCATGTTGGATTTTATTGTAGGATTTGGATTTCTGTTCTATTGCAGAAGCCCAACTCTTCAATTTTTTTGACTGACTGCCAGAAACCAACTGCAGCGGCTGCTCCTAATTTCTGGAACAATTTAACTTTCCCTGTAAGAACTGCTCCGACTTCTTGACATGCGATTCTAATTGAGTTAAGTCTAATTGGTAGCTTTCATTTTATTATTGCCTTTTTATTCCAATTATTTTTATAGTCAGTGTGTTTAATTGTGTCTTAAGATTTGCTTCGTCTTTCTGCCAAAACAATGAGCGAAAATGTGTGAAAGTTTTGTTCGTCTTTCAGATGTTTTTTCCCCCTAAATGACATCATTTTGGATCATGAAAATTTCAAACAGGATGCACTTTCATATCTTCTTAGAACCTTGTCATCAGCTGGCAGTTTTTACTGACAACACCTGACCTACCTTGCAAGTTCTATTAAGTTAGTGAAGTTCTAACACTTATTAGTATGAAGGAAAATCTTGGACAAACATCATTACAATTGTTTTCTACTTTATAAGGTCATGCTTGCATCTATGTCTTGTCATATCAAAAGATAAATCAAAAAATCAAAAAACAAAAATTTGTGCTTTGCTCAATCTCTTTAGGATTTAGGGAGTTCAAACTTTCTCCCGGGCTGCACGGTGGAACGGTGGTTAGCATCGTTGCCTCACAGCAAGAAGGTCGTCGGTTCACGTCCCAGTGAGGATACCTGGGATCTTTCTGGAGTGAAGTTTGCACGTCCAAAAACATGCTGAGGTTAATTGGTGATTCTAAATTGTCCGTAGGTGTGAATGTGCTTGGTTGTCTGTCTCTAAGTGTAGCCCTGTGATAGACTGGTGACCTGTCCAGGGTGTCCCCAGCCTTCACCCTGAGTCAGCTGGGATAGACTCCAGCCCCCCATGACCCTAGTGAGGATTAAGTGGTGTATAGATAATGGATGGATGGAAACTTTCTCCCACATTTTGCTTCTTCACTCTAACTTGCTATAGAGTTTCTGTATGCACGCCCACAACTTCACTGCACAGGAAACACTCGTGAGTTACATGCACATGCTGGTTAATCAAGCAGGCAGCAAGCACGCAACAATCCCAAAAAGTTTAAAAAGAACCACATGCATGCCCACACACCTGTTGCAACGTGGCTGGTGGCAATAAAGCTGGCATTAATACACGTGTTGGCGGCAAGTAGATGGCCTGTGGTGACCTCACCAGTGGGGTGGCGGGTGCTGGTGCCCTCTTGTGCGTACTGACCGTGTGCATGGCCCCCGTGGCCATCGCTGATATGGATGTCGTAGATGTGGGAGTGAGTCTTCAGTGTGAAGATGAGGCCAATCAGGTATGCAGCAGGCAGCAGGACAGAAATGGTGTATACCAGAGGCCTGGAGAAGAGGTTTTTTGAATTCATAACGAGCTAAAGAAACTATTGGGTTGGTTACACCAGAGAAGTGTAGCTGTACTTACTCGGTATGTGACAGAATCAAATGTGGGTCAGTTTGACTCTGTTGACAAAGTGTGATGGTGAAAATTAAAATCCAATAGGTTTAAATAGATATAATAAGACAACACAATTAAAACATAAAAACCTCAAAGTTAACAAGCGGTTGGACAACTAAGATTTAACTTCACAGTAAGCGTGAATAAAATGTGTTAATATGAAAGCAAAAAGAATTGAAGCATCAAGAGAATCACACTGTGAACCCCTTTGATTTACAAGATCACTTACTAAAACTGGAAAAAGAATAATCAAATTTGTTCAAGGCTGATTTGCTGCTGGTGCTTTGAAACCACGTTAAGAAAAATGGAGTCATGGGAAAGTGAAAGAAGCTGCCCACCGTGTCGTAGTGACAGTCCTTGCAGACGAAGGGTACGCTGGCATTGCCTGGAACATTGGAGCAGCTTTCACACACCAGATTACCAAAGGTCTTTGAGAAGAGCGTCGGAGCAAACACACCTAGAAATGATAACGTAGCATGAGGGTGAAGTTTAGAGCTTTTTTGAATAAGTTGGTGGATGAATTATAATTTAACCGTCTGTTCCCCAAAACCCACTAGCAGATTTGAAAGGCATAGAGTTTTTGTTTTTTTTTAAATGCCAAAATGACTAGAAACTAGATTGGATTAAAAAGTCTTTCTTGTCCTAAACTGGGCAATTTGATTTGCAGCAGCAGTTGGCAATGAAATTCATACCATAAAACAGTACAATACATAAAAACAGATAATAATAATAATAATAAATGCCATCAGGGGAGTTATCATGACCATATATGTAGCCTACAGCGCAAGGACACAAGCCTAAAGCTTTTTTTAGAAACCCTACAGCTGAGGGAACAAATGATCTGAGATATCTGTTTGATTTGTCCCTCTAAGGGAAGGTGTATCTCTTCCCTTCCAACTGCCCTTGAACTACTTATTTGTGACGGGCTGTTCTGTAAGAAAGCCTTAACTGAATCAAACTCACTTTATTTTACATATCTCATTTAAAACTTCAACAAAAATAAAATGTTTATTTTTTTAAATTCTGTGCTCCTTTGTGAAACGAAGAAGCCATCAGTGACTCAGCTGCAGCCAAGAGTCAAATATTCAGGGATTGTTTGGCTGATCTGCGAGGTGTGTTTACATTTATATGGGAGAAAAATACGAGAATAAATTGAAAATATTAGCAGTGAAATACCTCGAGCATTTTGAAACACAGTTTTAAAAAAAAAATTATTGGTAACACCTGTGGGCACTTGGAAAAATATACACACTGATTTCCAATTTAAAAAGAAAAAAAATCTTTAGAATAAGTAGAGAACTTCAAATTTCACTTTTTTTTGTTCTTTTTTTTGTTTTAAACAATTTATGGCATTACAACATTTTTGAGTTTTCTAATTCTAGCAATGGTTGTTCTGTTTCCAAAGAGGTGCTGAACTTATTACAATAAAAAAAAAATAGTCCACAGTGAGTAAACATGTGACAGGATTTAGTCAGGACATTTAGTTATTTGTGCAACTGCCATCCTTACCTCCAATGGAGATGAAAAGTAAAGCAGAGCTCACTCCAGCTGAACGACTGTTAAACCTCTGCTCGCTGTGTTTGATGCCGCCAATGATCATGCAGATGCCCTGCGCAGTAGAGCATGTTAGTGCATGGGCATCTGTCATAGCTAAAAGAGTGCAGCAGTTAATCAATAATAAACTGGATATTCATCTCAGGGAAACCATACATATTTTATCAAGCACCGTGATGCCGGATGCTAACTGACAGGTGAACATGTGTTCATCCGTCCTTCTCAGACACTCACGGGTATGAACAGTATACATCCCAGCAAGGTCCCGGTCAGCGCTGCTTTGACTATCTCTTCATAACATTTGGTGGCAGCGCGATGCCCCTGCAGCAGTGCCGTGATGTAGAAAGTCATCTCTGTGATGGAGCCGAAGGTCGCATTCACCACCGCGCCCACCGCAAAGTTACTCTGTGCAGAAATGCTGGAGGGAATATGCACACATAGCAAGAAAAGAAAAATAAAAAGATCAACAACAACATAAACACTATACATTGCTACAGGTTTCCAAAACTGTTCTTGCAGATGTAGCAGGGTTAAGCTGTTATTATTTTACCTTTATTGTTATTTATTTTAAACCCAAAATGCAGAAGCTTTACCTGGCTATCCCCATGCCAATATAGTAGGACAGGGGAATGATGGAAATGATGGCAGTGGCAAACGTGGTCTCTGCACTGAAGTAGTTGTGTTTACGGTCAGTATATCCAATAATCAAAGTCATGAAAACCAGGGGAAGAAGGTCTGCAGAGACTTAAGGAGAACAAACAGTTGACCAGCAGTGGTGCAAGAAGTACAACCTGATATTACTCACGGCATCGTAACTCCTGCTTCTCACAGTGTCAGAGCCCAACAAGAGCCACAAACAACTTAAAAAAGGATACTGAGAGCAAAAATGTTGATTCCTTGGATAGTATATTTGTAGTAATACACATTGAAAGCACGGTAGCAGCATAAGATAACTCTCCTCTCATACCCGAGCGTCTGCAAAAAAAGGACAAGATCCAATAGGTAATGTTGCTAAACTCCATTTGGTAATGGTCAAAGCAAAAACAACAGGGCACACATTCCCCATCCAGTGCCTTTACCTTCGTCAGTCTGTTGATGTGGATGTCCTCTGGTGCCATGAGGAGGACAGTGGTCAGTACGCGAGCGTTCAGTTTGGCTATTGGGATGGTGAAGACCAGCAGCCAGGAGAGCACACAAGCGAGAGAGTGGACCACGGCCAGGACGGGGTAGCCCAGTAGCAACCAAATGTAAGTACTGACGCGACACTGTAGAGAAAAACAGGAGTCGTGAATAAACTATGAGAATATTATAGAACTTTTCTTCCTCCACTCTGACTTTCCTACCCAGCGCTTTGTAGTTTTTCTAACTGGCAGCTCAGGGACGGGGATCTCCACAGGGATTGGGGACGACACCAGAAGGGGTGCAGAGTCTTTGTCCCTCACAAGGTCCTCACCGTCTCCGTCTTGGGGAGAAGCATCACTGTCTAGAGGCTTTACAGGGAATCTATGAAGGCTACCAGGCTGGAAAATTAAATGGTAACATGTCAGTCTTCCAAATTACATGCCAATAGAAATTTCACTGGAGAGAAGATGCTTATATCATGATTTATCACCTGTAAAAGTGATCAGGAATTTTCTGATTATTAAAATAGAATCTACATATCCTATTACCTTTTCTATTGACTTCCCAAATGGCCAAAGAAAGTACAATGCCAGCTTCCAGCAAACTTTACCTGAAAGAAAAAAAAACCCAAAAATGGCATGATGTTCTACATCTAAACTGAACTACTCTTCTGAGTGAGCTTTTATTTTGAAAATACATACCATAAGGTGCACCGAGGATTGTTAGAAACATCACAGGACAAATGAGGAGGTAGATTAACGACGTCCACCATCCGAATAAAAACACATAAATTACGTTCCCAAAGGTGACCACCGAGACTAAAAAAACAGAAATACACACGACTTATTTCATGCATCAACCCAATATTTGTCTGTATGAGCATGTAAGTTGTATTAAACTGAATTAAAAGGGGGAAAAAAAATACCTTCTTGAGACTTCACCACACTGAGGTTAGAGTACAGCTCCTTGACGATGTCGGATCTGTCTTCGATGGGCCTCTCTGTTACGTTGCCCTTCCATTTCCTGAAGCCAAACTGAAAAATAGGCCATAAACAAACAAGTGGCATATTTTCCTTTTACAATGACAACAGAGATAAATGAAATGATCTACAGCAAATGTTGAAGTGACAAAACTTCTGTGAACAAACTCACGTGGGAATAAAAATGACACTTAACAGTGAGTTCTTCTTAAACAGTTACCAACATGTTGGCTTGATGGGCATCACCTGCTTTTCTATTCTTCCCCAAACATGTGAGCGAGTGGGTCATTTAAATAAATGAATGAAAACACTCTTGTATTGTTCCCCCATGAATGAAGCTCCACATTTTCCCCCTCCAGTCATGCAGGTATCCCACCGCTGCAGCGTATTAATGCCCCCAAGGAGGACCACTGAAAACAACTGCTGCATTGACCCACCTTGTAGTTGTTGGCCTCCCTGTGGGCCTCCACCTCATTCTCAACCCTGATCGTGGTCTTGGAGGTGGCTTCATGCCATCCGTCCTCTCCGTAGTGGGACGGAGTAGACCTGGCTGAAGGGGCCTGTGCTCCTGCAGATCACAACAAGACTTTTACCACCATCTTCAGCATCCACAGAATCTTTCAAAATCACTTCAGATTTTGTTACTTCTCAGCCAGGAAAGAGTCATAATAAGCTACAAAATCATGGGCATCTGCTTGTGAGGTTCGCATTTCAATAAATGATACTATCTCAAAGTAATGTCTCACCTTTGTGGACGGCGACGAAACATTTGGGCGTGTAGTGGCAGAAGTGCTGTGCAGAAGAGTCCGGGGGAGGCGTCTCCACAGCGCCTGGGTCTGGATGCTGAGGCCCGACGCAGAGCCGCTCGGCACAGCAGTCTGAGCAGACATCAGTCACGGATGTCATAAAATGCAAGGCACGTCGGTGGCATGCGAGGTGTGGAGGGCCACTGACATCCAGGACCAATGTCCTCCCGTGGAAATGTGCGAGACTAACAAATATCTCCTGAGAGTCATGCAGTGTCCCCCCTTCTCTCCCCCACCACTGCTGTTAACTGCTGTCTGCCAAGACTGATCACATTATCAATGCATTGCAGCACAGAAAGAAAAAAGGAAATCTTAGCTGACTGTAGCTTTGAATTTAAAACCACTGGTTCATGTTGATCTGGATGAATTCTGATCAAAGATGTCGAGTAAAAGCTGATGATTTAAGGTGCTATAGGTATAGGAAGACGGTGGAATGATTAAGACTGGCTGATGAAGAAATAACTTCACAGAAAAGTAATGTCCACATGGATAAAGCTGCCTGATGCTTCCAGGATTGGTAGAAAGCACACAACTTCACAGGATCTTGCACAAAATGAGCCACAGCCATGTGATGGCCACATTAAAAGATGAAAACTCCCATTTATTGTAGGTAGATTAATGACTTTTGGTGCATGATCCTGACCACTACACGTCAGAAAATACATTATATTTAAAAGTAAAAGACAGTAAAACGACTTAAATGGAGTTTAGATCTCCAACTGAAAGCCTCACAGAAAACTTTTTTTTCAGCTCAGGTGAGAGGAGGCTTAGAGGCGCAGGTGACTTTAACGAGCACGCACGAAACAAACAGAACCGTGAAAAAAAAAAAAAAAAGTCGAGCAAACAAAATCATCCGCTTTCTTTCTCTGTGTGGAGGTTTCGTGAAGGTGCAAACGCAGGTGGTGAGTTGTTTTAGTTTGTTTTTTTTAAAGCAGCTGAACATTTTGGTCTCACCTGAGGAATCAGCCACGGATCTCTTCCGCAGGTTCTCCACGTCGCCCGGCATCAGGAGAGACTTTCAGAGGGACATAAAGCGAATCTGGTTCCCCCCAAACGCTGCTTCTGACATCCGCTCTGCTGCTCGAAGCTTCAGCTCGACTTTATGAAGTCTGCAGCAGACAGAGGAGGGGGAGGAGGGGATATGGGTGGGAGGGACGAAGGGGACACAACAACAATAATTATTATTTATGGAGAACTTTTAAAATCCAGGTTGAAAAGTGCTTCACAAGGCCGCAAAATAAAATAGAGCACAAAGAGAGACAGCTAAAAAACAACATGATAATAAAAGGGTTCAAATATTATAAGAATTTTTTTTTTTTAAAAGGCTCTCCAATAAAAGTATGTTTTAAGAAGTGATTCACAAGCAAGAGATTTATTAAAGAAAAAAGAATGTTAAAAAAATAAAGATAAATAAAGGTAGTGTTGGATGATGATGTGGATGACCAAATAGGATGTAAGTGTGGAGGCTTCATCTCAGTTTTAATAAACCCCAACAGTGTCTAGAGAGAGGAGAGAAGAAGAGGAAGAGAAAAAGTGATGACTATATGTGGAGCAGGCAGGGTCAAAGTTACCCAGGTATAAGTAGGCCTGCCAGGTAGTTAGAGGTGTGACTGTGCTCCTGGATCTTAAGATTAAATTCATATTAAAAGACATCAGTTGGAGGGATTTTCCCAAGTAGATCATTTACCCGGCCTCCTGGAACAGACATGAGATCTCTGTCCAAAGATCTCAGGGTGTATACTGGTGTATGGTGTTAAGTTGTCGGAAATATGCTAGAGAGAGAGAGAGAGAGAGAGAGAGAGAGAGAGGGTCTTAAAAGTAATCAGCAAAATCTTAAAATGTCTCCTAAAACATACTGGGAGTCAGTGTAACAAGACAGAACTGATGTGCTTTCGTGGTTCTGGTTAATATCCTGGCAAATGAGTTCTTTTGCATCTGGAGTTGATCAATAGATTTCTGGTTTAGGCAGGTTAAAAGGCTGTTACAGTAATCCAGTGTTTAAAATGGTCTCACTGTCTTTGAAAGTTAGCATAGACCAGATTTTGAAGATACTCTAAGATGATAAAAACACGGTTGCACAAGTTTTGTGACGTGTTGCCCAAAACTTAAACTACTGCTGAACTCTGAGATTCTTTACTACAGGCTGAACACGATCCAAGAGAGAAGCAGCTGATGTCAGAATCTGTTTGGCCATGTGCGACGATCAAGAAATCTGTTTGATCTGAATTCAATTCAATGAAGTTTTTGGTATCGGAAAGGCAGCCATTTAGAGAACTCAGCATACCAGGATCTATGTACAGCAGCGTGTCATCAGCATAAAAATGAAATGCCATTTCAATGCCTAAGACCATGGCACGTCTTTTATCTTCATCATTATGTTTTTAACTCCCAAAATATTAATTATGAGCTCCTACAACCACTAAATCTTCGGTGGAAAAGGAAATTCTGTCTCTCTCTATATATATAGACACTAAATAACACATTTATTTGTTGTCTAGTGCCTGAATTTAGTCGTTTCCTTTACATAAATTAAGACTTTCTGCAATACATTGATGCAGAAAAAGTACAAATTTGTGGATTTTTGGTTCCAATGTTCAGATAAAATCTACGCCTAACATGACACTTATTTTTCTCCAGTGTTTTAGGGTAGTTTTCCAATATACAATATATCAAGTTTTTGTGAAATGTTATGTGTTTGCACCAGTCATAGCATAAAACATAAGTATATTTAGTCTTCAAATTTCATCTCTACTGGTTGTTTTTTCTGTCCATCTTTCCCTCTGTGGATGAATTTGGATATTACAGTGTGACAACATGGCAGAACAATCACAGAAAGCCATAGGATTACTTTTATTTACATATAAAAACAAAAAAAAGTACAGCTGCACAGAAAAGGTGACAGTAAATGTTTCTTTTTCTTTTTTTTTACACAGTTGGGAGACTAAACACAAAAAGCAACAGTAAATCTTTTGACAGCGTTCGAACACAAATTGCTTTTTTTAAAGACATAAACATTTCAAAAGTAATCTTCATTTAATATTTTAATAAATCCTTGAACTTTTTAGGTTGACATCAGATATTGGATTTCTGTCACCAAACTGTCCACATTGTTGAACAGATAGCAGTGTGGTAACCAACAGGAACATAAATAATTCTCTCTTTTACTCATCTCACATGAAATACTAATATTCGGCAAAGAAGCCATTTAGCACAGTTCACTTCAGCATCATTTATCCACAGCGAGTGTAAACTGACATGACGACACCAGGTGACAGTTTGGTTACAGCACTAAAAACGGTGGCAGTTTTTTTTTTGTTTTTTTTATAGAACAGTTGACTCTTCCCTTTGTATTTATTATCTTAGCAGAAGAATTATAACTTTGTACAAATAATAACCATATTGAGAAATCTATGAATAGCATATATACAGTACACACATTTAAAAAAAGAGAGAGACTGACAAATATCAGCATTTTCAGATGAAAAAAAAAAAAGATGTCGGGAAAAAAAAAAAAAAAAAATCCAAAAAACAAGCCGACTGTGGTGCAGAAAATCCAAACTGCACCAAAGAGGAAACACACAAGAACAGTTCAAACTGAATATATACAACAGATAAACAAAAGTAGAAATACAGATGTAAAAAAATAACCTTTAAAAAAAATGTACAAGGGAGGAAAGTTGAAATGTACAAGGAGAATTCATTAAGAAAAACATGGCCATTCCATTCAGTCCGATGCAGTGTGACTGCAATAAGTTTTCCTCCAAACAAAAAATAAACAAAGGGTTGAATTATTGCACCAGGCAACAGAGCGTATACAAATATTTAGTATGTATTTTTAGCTCAGTAACTACTTAACAGGTATTTTAGGATGTCAAAAAATTAAAGAAAGGACAACGATAATTTGGCTAATTCTGTTTAGACGTGGAGTCACGATGTGTTCGACTTAAAACTGTGTGACAAAATAAACTTTATTGGGCTTTTAGTACTGCAGCGCTTCTGTTTAAAACCAAGTGTTTAAAGTTCGGCCAGTATGTGATATTAGTATTAAAAGGATGAGGGAGATAACGGTTAGTACCTCAAGTTAACTGTACATGAACACAAGTAATTAGTGACTATATAGCAGTGAGAAGACAAAGCTGGAGTCTTAAAAACATTAAAATATAATACAAGACAAGGCTTGGGATCAACAGTATTTGCAGGAAGCCTACAGCTTTTTGTCTTATACTGTATTCTGTAGAAATCAGAATTTTTAACCCAGAATCAATCCAATAATATGATCGACTCTAAAACGGTTTTCTAGAGTCGTCTTAATCGAAATCATTTCTGATTATCCCAGGAACAAGCTGATTGGATCAATTAGCAACTCATCCTTGACGGGCACCAATAACACTGAATCCCACTGTGTCGCACACTTTAATGGTGTAACCAGCAGGTTGAACAGACACCAGCTGATGAACTGAATGAGTTTCAGGATAAAGAGATCTGTGTTGTTTCAAGCCATGCACAGTTTAGCTGCCTTAATTGTTTTGTCATCGTGGAGTTGCCTTTGAAAATGTATTGGACACAAATAAAGTATAAAAAATATTTTTTCATTAACTTATTCACAACATATTTTTTTAAATTTTATCCCTTTCACTTTTCTAAAAAAAACAACAAAACAAACAAAAAAAAAAAACATGATAAAAATATAAAGAAATTATAGACTGACCAGCTTTTTTCCATCTTGACCACTGGTCGTTGGGAATTCGGTGCACCTTAGTAAGAATCTGTGAAAGTATCCAGCACTTTTTTCTAGCTTACTGTGTGTCTACCACAAAGCAGAATATCGGAGCTTTGATTTTAGAAGTCAGAGTCAGCGTCCATGAGCTCCGCCTCCATTAAATTGGTCCTGGAGTGGATGGGTCCGTAGCCAGCTCTGCGTCCTGCTGGTACCCGAGCCACGTGGGCCATTCTCTCTGATATCCCATCGGGCAGGTCCATCTCTTCGGGGTAGCTGGGCTGCCAGTTGGAGGTTTGTGGGGGGCAGCGTGGCCCGAGGCCCAGATCCTCTGGACAATCGTTGAGGGTCAGTGGGTTGGACAGCAGGCTGCGGCCGTAGTCGCTCCGGCTGCTCTGATATTGCAGGTAGGGACACCTCTCCTCACAGGACAGACGGTGTGACGGCTGGTAGTCGGGGTACGACCCCGGCAGGACTTCCTCCTCCATCTTCTGCTGCTGCTGCCTCTGCTGTTCCCGCAGGTTGGCCACCAGGCTCGGGTGGCAGGGCAGCTTGGGTAGTCGGGGCACTGAGCTGCGCCCAAACTCCCGCTGACGATACGCCTGGTGGTCCACCACCTCCTCGACCGGACGCACCTCCTTCTTCCTCTTCTTCTTCTTCTTTTTCCTCTTTATCATCTCTGGCGAAATCTCGGCCTCCACCATCCACAGCCTGTTCCTCTCCTCTGGAGGTGGCACTGTGAAAAAAAACAAGATATATAATCCTTTTTAAGAAGGAAGAACAGTAACAGCAAGGCATACAAGGGATTTATGTTGTTCTTTGCTCCCATATTACCTCTGCAAAAGGGCAAAGGTGTTAAACTACTATGTACAACTGTAAATATGTGGGGAAAAAAGCATGTTTAAATATGAGGTTTGAGAAAGTTTAGTGCAAAATGCAGTAAATACCAAATTAATGTCAGCACTTATACAAGCAGTAGGTGGACGATAATGCAATATAAGGGTTGAGATTTAGAGCGAGCTGTTATTGAATGATTTATCGGAATGATGGCCTGTGGGTGGAAACTGTTTGTGTGTGTGTGGTGTACGATCAGAGTCACGGCCTCCACATCTCACCTGGTGTACCAGTGGGAGTAACAGAAATGTCCTGAGGCAGGATGGCGCCTCTTCTGGCCACCATCTTGGTCACGTGCTGCGCCCAAGCTGACGACATGTCATTGGACGGCTCATTCAGGTCAAAATTGATTCCAGCTATGAGAGACAAAAGACAAACCACACACACATCCGTCATTTGGAGGGACAGCTTCACACACAACACGGTCCCGACTGGCTCCCCTCAATAGCCCTGAATTACTGCACGATAAACAAACATGGCAGCCACAGCAGCCTCACAGTTTACACAAGTCATTCACGGCTTAACTACAGAAAAAAGACACCGTTGTCTCTGAGCATGTGGCCTCTAAGGCATGAAAAAGCACAGCTAATAAAAAATAGTACAGAGCGGTCTACAAAAAAGGGTAAAGGATGACATCACTGCTTTCTGACATTCTGCTGCTGAACACAATAAAACTTAAAAAGCTGCCAAACTACAAATAAACTATTTCATCACTTACATCTAGTCTGAGCACGATAACTCTCGCACAACTTTTTTCAAACATACACAATCTAAATAAGACTCCTTGTAGTTTCAGTTATTCACCACAAGGTGGAAGTGTTCTCTGTGTGAAAATGCACTCTAACTTCTCAGATATGATCCGTTTACTCATAATTCTGTCTAATGGCTTCACTGGAACACTCACCCACTGGCCCATCGTGGGACACAGTGTGCATGCTGAAGGACAGCTCCTTCTCCGGGTCCTTGTGGAGCTCCTTCCTGAGCGCAAAAGCCTTGGCGATCATCTTGCTCTTCTTGATCCTCTTCGGTTCGTTGTCGCTGCGGCCGATGAGCCTGGAGAAAACCAGCAGAAGTTAGGTTTAAAGGCAGAGAACGAGCGGCTGCTTGTAAATTTTGTTGACTTTTCTTTCGATATTATAATCTTATTTTATTGTACCTTCATTTTATACCCTACCCTAATATTCTGTGTTGTCTTTTTGCTTTGTTTACCCCCTTTGTTGAATATTCATGCAACAACTGAATTTCCCTCTGGGGATTAATAAAGTCAGTCTTAGTCTAAGATGAGATGAGCGTTACTGAATGATCGAAGTTAAGCAAATGCTTTTGAAAACAAACATTTGGGATTTTTGTGACTATATTCAGCCCTGATCCACTAAAAACAACAGACTGGGACCTAGTTCTTAGACAGGTATGCGACAGATCACACAGCTGCTGTCATGTGACTTTGGACAAGATGCTGAAATCCCACAACGCTGGTGAGAAAGTCCAAACTGAAAACAATAATTCCCAGTGGATTAATTACTGAGTGAAATGCAAGTCACAGCAATCCCTTGTGCACAAAACAAACATAAATTCAGACACACAGGGGACACAAAGCAGGATTAAATGTATGTGCTTTTAAATTATATGGGTAGAATCCACAATTTTTAGTGTCAGTCAGTCAAGAAACATGTCTGGCTGCACAGAAACACACACAGGAAATGAGAAAAACCACTAAAGAGTTTGGAAAAGAATATTTAAAAGGCAGAAACAATAACATCTGGCACAGTTTTTAAAATAGCAGTCCCTAGAAAACTGCTATTGTGATTGCTACATTACACTTTCACTTGATCTTACTTGCACCAGGTGCGTTTCCAGATGAGGATGGTGGCTTTGGTCCAGACCCAGGTGCTCATGGCGATTCCCGTCCCGAACATGGAGAACAGGTTGATCTTCTCCACCATCAGGCTGGGACGGTTCTTAATGGTGCACTCTGGGATCGGCTTGTTGGTCTGAGAGGCGATGGTCACGTTGGCTTCACACCTGTTGGAAACACCACACATGATGGGGCCGCATGCGCCTCCAGCACCTTATAGCCACTGAGGTTCATTCAAGAAGCTGGCGAATAAGAAGGTCTTTGACATGTCAGGGAGGGAGAGAGCGGTTTACATTTTTGAGGCGAAATTAATTCCAGTCCAGCCAGTGTCAACACTGTGGGGAAATAGGGCCACATTCACTGCGGTCTGGTGTCTCGGCAGCATCAGTTTGTGGATTTCTGTGTGTGATCGGATGCAAAGAGCGAACCTAAAGAGGTGGCTGGAATGTGAGTGTTGAGTTATGAAGTAGCTCTGGAGCAAGGAGGCAGGTGTAAAAACCTTACTGTGCAAGAAGCGTCTAAGAAACTTACAGCACGTATTCTCTGAAGCTCTTCTCCCATTCCTCCTGGTTGAAGAAGTCATAGAAGTGGCAGCCGAAGGTGATGAACACGAAGCCAAAAGCGAGGAATCCAAATATACCTTAAGAAACAGAAACAAGTTACACACGCTGCTGCCTTTCCATCGTACAAATGAATGGATCACATTTCAGGTTCTTGCTGTTTTTACTGACTTGTTAAAAAAAAAAGAAACAGCTTCACTCACTGTTCACCTGCAGCCTTGAACAGCACGCAGAGCAAACTAAAGCTCGCCTCATTTTTATCCTTCGGGCAACTCTGGTTTTCAGTTTCATCCTGTGACGCTTCCAGATGTTCTTGATTTAGGTGTCTCACATCTTAAATGTTCTATTTTTTTTCTTCATGCCTTCAGTATTTTAGTAATGTTAACATTTTTAAGCATCTTTAGTATGCCCACATCTTCATTTTTGCTCAACTATATTATAAATTAGAGCTCCACCTCAATATATTCTTTAAATGAAGGCTGCTTTGATGTTTCACTTTTCTCCCAATACAGTTCATACAAAATAGGAAAAGAAAGTGAGAAAGGAAGACGAATCGTGAGTGAAATTACTGTAAAATAATACATTCTTTCTGTTTTTCCTTACAGAAATTACCCAATTGTATTAATTCAGATTGATAAAACTCATTCTGTGCCATGAAAGCATTTATATTCCATCAGTCTGCTCAGTGATGCACCAAAGTTTTTGATCTTGTTCACATGGGGTGTTTTTTTTTGTTTGTTTTTTTTTTACATGCTGGAAGACATGTTATGAGCAAAGCAAGCAGTCATGGCTAAGTTTGAAACTACAGTTTGACAATCTCTAAAACATGAAATCAGAAGTGTGGGGTTTCATACAAAACAAAAATAAGGAACCAATACTTTCAAATTGTGGCTTTCTGTATCATTATTCTTCTTCAAGTACAGTTTCAAACATGTACTGCTGAATTATGCCGATATTCCAAATTGCTATTGTGTCATCAGTGTTTGAGCAGAAGTAAGATGAAGTCATTTTAAGGCAGGAATGGATTATTTCCATGAAACCAAATCAAAATATGTTGCTTTGATACACAGCAATTCATTTTTGGGATTTAAATCAACTGTCAGTTATGCAGGTTTCAGCTCTAATGAGGATGATTTGGCCTTGATGTTGTAAAAACATGCTAATAAACAGCAGAACTTACCAAGTCTCAGCATGGTCTCATTGATTTTACTGGCTGCTTTCTCGCTCAACAGTCCTGGGTGGTTACTCTTGATGGAAAATAACGTCATGACACCTAAAAAAAAGAGAGTAAATGAGCACATGTTTGATGTAAGAGTTTAAATTTGAGCTTAAAGATGAAACATTACTAGACCATGCTCCACATGTGTGAACTCACCCCGAATGAGGAAGTAGCCGCCGACGACAAGCACCACGCCGATGGGCGCCAGCACAAAGCCGGCGCGGTATCTGTAGTATCTGTAGCCGACAAAGCAGATGCCGCTCACCGAGTCTCCGTCCACCTTTGGATAAACAGGCATGGACGCAAAATGTGAGAAAAGTGACAGCGTGACCAGTCATGATGACATTTTTTGTCGTCATACGCACCTCAGCGATAGCCAGGATGGCCACAGTGAGGACGAAGGGGACGGACCAGGTGACCATGTGGAAGTAGGAGGTTCGACCGGACAGCGGCTGGTGAGTTGTTCCCAGGGCTTTGAAGGACGTGTGCCAGGCATACGTGAGCATCACGAACCAAATCACGCCCGACATCAGGGAGTAGTAGACGATGATGAAGATCGTGACACATGAGAGTGTTTCTGAAGACCTGGGGAGGAATTTTTCAGAGATTATTTTGATTGCAAATCATTTTTGGTTATGCTTTTATTTTGAAAAAAAAATGTCACACTTACGACGGCTCCCCGAGTCGCATTGTGTTGTCGCTCTTGCACACAATCTCCTTGCGCGCTCCGTCCAGGAACTGGGCCAGCCAGCCGATACTTCCTACAAAGAAGCAGGCGTTGATGTAGAAGAGGATGACGGCCGGGTAGCGGTTGGAGTTTTTCCAGTCAGCGAGAAACGTGGCCTGAAAAACAAGAAATCCAGTTAATAAAATGGAACAGAAGAAGTTAAGCTCAACAAATAGAACTCTGGCTGTTGCTTTAATGTCTCACCAGTGTGAAGAAGGTGCAGAGGAGGGTGATGGTGCCGAAGTAGGCGATGTAGGCGTGCATGTCATTGTGCTCCTCCTCGGTGAACAGAGGGTTGTCGCACTGGATGCCGCAGCCCTCCACGTCCTTGTACCAGCTGGACTGAATGTCGGTCTTCACCAGGGGGGCTTCACACTGACCCGATGTGTTGAACTTCAGTTTCTGCACCTCGTTCTGCACGAGAAGGATGCAAAGGGAGCGTTTGAGTGATATCTCAGGCTATGTTCACTTCCATAGCCTACCCAGCAGGTTTTACACCCAAACACTACTTCAATGTTTGGTACTTTTACCATCAGACTCATCTGGAATCTATTCATTTACTGTTTCTGTTCCTGAATGCTCTCTAGCTGACTCTGACCTCTGACCTTGCTGGAAGCAGGAAAAGAAAAGAGACTTTCGTCCTCAGGAATCAGTATCATGACATAACAGTGAAACATACCGCGCAGCCCACAGGGAATTTGTCACATGTGAGGAAGGTGGGCCAGCCTCGGTCCCGATCCACGATGCTGCACGGCCGACGCGTCGCCAGACACAGGCTCTGGCTGGGCAGCTCCACTCGGCCGTTCTCGCATTTGGGCATGTAGACGGCACAGAGCAAAGGCTGGATGACCGACCAACAGCGAGGAGCGTTCCGCAAACCTAGGACATACAAACAGTAGAAAAATTCACGTTAGACAAGAGAAATGTAAAGCAGGAATCACATCATGAGAGGATATGTCAAATATATATACAGTAATTTGTACAACCTGGAAGTGGAGGTTTAGGCTTAAAGGAGGTTATGGCAGGGATGCGGTCATAGATCCGTTTATTTATGACTGACGGTGACTATTTTTATTCACATTATGTATTTGTGTGTGTGTGCGATCAATCAACAGAAATGAAAAGGCAACTCATCATGAAACAACTCGAACCACCTGCTCACATGTTAGACAGCAGAAGCAACCTGAAGACATCACACAGAGAACTAGGACTACAAATTATACACAGACTGATAAAGAAAAACATGAATTGATACAGAAACAACTTGTACTTCAATACAAAGAGAAGGTTTATAGCAGTCCTGATAAAGCGAAGATAAGTGAAATGTTTGGATATGATCGTAGCATTCCCGAGGATTCCAGTTGTGATGCACCAGGACATTTCACGTAGGTGTAACTATGTTTTCCTGGCAGCAATCTGTTAAAACCAAAAGCACAAATCGGCTATTTTTCCATCCGAAAGATCGAATCTTGAAGAGCCGTGAGTCACATCAGGGACGGACGCCTCATTACCAAGCTCTTATGGATGTGAGAGTCTTCTTGTAGAATATCTAAACCCCTTTTATCATCAACTGTTTCCTCTGCAGCACCTTCCAATGATCCCTTTTGTTGCCTTTTAATGGGTTTTAACACTTGGCTTCTCCTCCAATCTCTGCTCCCCCGAGTACTTGAGACTTCTTCTCATCAGGCCATTATAATGCTAACTAACTCACCTATCATCACAATAAAACTACTCACAACTAACATTCAGTGCGTCTGTGCAGTCATAAAAACAGCAATTTATGAGATTAATCGATTCATTCCGATATGAATCGAATTTTTAAGTTGCAACTACAAAATAAAAGCCTGTTCATGCTGATATTTAATGCATAAAACACACTGTTTTCTGATACTGACTTTATCTACAAGATTGAAACACTAATTCCAATGTGTTTTTGCTAATCAATAATTGATTTATTTCTGCTTGTATCACTTCCTAAATATGTAAATCCTGCATATCTTCATAGTAATTCTGCAGTGCATGACTTTTAACCCCCTGTAATAAATGATTCTCACGTTTTCTCATGTAATCAGACCACAGGATGATCAGTTACAGGTGAGACAGTGAGAAACAACATCTTCAAGTCTTTTCCTGATTCCACTAAATCTTACCAGACCACATGGTCAACTTCTCAAAAGCTTCTTCTTGGGTGCTGGAGTCCTCAGCCAGGACCAGAGAAGTATGAGTATATGGCAAAGGCGATCCCAGACATGTGTTGTATTTCAGAACCTCACAAGTGGAGGTTTTCTTGCATTTATCCTCAAATATGGTCCCGTTTGGAGACAACACTGCCCCGGAGCCTGGCAGCCAGGCAGCCAAGACGCAAAGCATCCCGCAGAAGCCAACAATGGGGCTCCGAGCCTGGGAAGACATCTTGTGGAGGGGGGAAGAGATTCAACCGTGCAGTAAAAATACAAGAAAAAGAACTGATCACTTTGAATTCTTCAGTAATCCAGCTTCCTGAGAAAGCAGCGGATGAGGTTTTCTTCATGAGATTGAAGTTTCCAAACGCGACATGGCGAAGAAAAGCTGCTCCAAAGTTTCCTCCCAAACTTTTTTCACTCTGCACTTCTCGTCCGATCCCTGCTGGATCCTCTTGAATTCCTTCATTATCCAGTAAAACGTCCCAAAAACTGCCCCCCGAGGCGAGAAAAAGCGGACGATCAATTAAAAAACTCGCACAAAGTATTCATTTGGCTGCGCGTAAAACACAGGGAATAAGCGAGAAAGTTGCAGATTTCGCCCTCCCCCCACCTTCCAAAAAAAAAAACTTGCCATGAAAAAAAAAAAAGTCTGGATCTCTGTAATAGGATCTCTAGCTCACATGCACCACCCCTTCTCCAAAGCCCCCTTTTCTCATACTGGCAGAAAAATAAGATGATAAATGATCCGGTATCCGTGTCCCAGGAGGTGATTCTCCTCCTGCGCTCGTGTGTGATGAGAGTTTTTGCTGTTGTGTTGCTCCTCGGTTCTGCTTGTTTTTTGTCTCTGGTATGCACATGGTGGGGGAGAGCCAGGGCAACAAAACCTCCCTTCCCATCCCCCCTCTGCAAGTGGAAGAATGTGCCTTATGGCAGGGCCTTCTCCTCAGCTCCTCATCCTCCAGGACCCCCACCTCAAAACAACACAGACCCCCCATCTGACAGGTTTTGCTCTCATGTGAGGAGCTTTTCTTTTTTTTTGGTAGTTTGTGCTGAATCATGCCACCACAGTGTGATGTGATGCTGCATGTTCTCAGTGGTGTTTTTGAGAAGCTCAAGGACCCTGGGGTGCTCCTCAAACCTTCTGAGACCCCCCTGATCTCCCCAAAATATGTATAAAAACAAAAGGTAAACTGTATTTGTACTTAAACTAGTATCTCAGAACTCATGTCAGTTGCTGATATGCTTTTAATTAAGAAGAATTCTTGGTCGCTATCATTGAATTAGATAAAGACGAATGGAAACAGAGATATTTGGAAGAATAAAACACTAATAATATACATTATAAGTCCTGTCTTAAAACATACTTTTATTGGAGACCCTTTCCTGATTTTATTTTATTTTTTCTCCTCTTAATTGTCCTTCATGTCTTTCAATAATGTTTCTACCTCTTTAACAGTTGCTGGTTTCTATTCAACATGTTGTGTTTTTATTCGTCTTTTAAATTCTGAAACCTGACCTAAACCTAACCTAAAGCTAATCTAAACCTAACTGTAACCTGGATTTCAAAAAGTGCTCTATAAATAACACAAATAAATAATAATAATAATAATAATAATAATAATAATAACAACAATGATAATATATTCTTCACATACAACCATATGTAGTTTTTACATGAACTGTTACATATATTATGATATATACAAATAAATAAAATGAAATCTTTTTAAAAATCTATAATGTATATATTACAAATATATTAATTATATAGCAATTTATGATAATATAATATGAGACTATTAATGTAATAACAATATTATACTATATATTGTAGACTATACAATAGAATTAATTTGTAAAACTTTTCATGTGCAAATTAATTCCAGAAATCCAAAAATCAGTTGCTGTTAAAAAGTCCACAGTCCAGATTTAGAACAAAAGGAGAAACTGTGCTTTCACTATTTTCACCCCAACACCATAGAACAAGTAACTTCTAATCTTTTTTGTGATTTCATTTTTTAATGTTTTAATGTCTTTTTAAATGTTTTATCATTGCTCCTTTTTGTAGAACGCTTAAATAGTTTTAAAAAAGCACCACAGAAATAGTAAAAAGTCCAAAAACTTTAATATAATTGTCATTAAATACAAAGTGTAATATGCTTAAACATATGTAGGAAATGTAAACATAATGTATACATGTTTTGCAATAATAGCACAACATCATAAAATAAGACCTTGAGGCTCCCAGACAACAGGCACAAACTTCACATTTGTGTTTCTGGGGACAGTTTGTGTACAAAGGTTTATGGAGGAGAGTACATTTAGTTCACCGTCTCCCCCGACCAGAATGTAGCCGTCACCCAGGCATTCAAAATATTTAGTCTATAGTGAAAATACTATACAGCAGAGATATAATCAAACAAATGTGAAATGTTTAAAACAACATCTGAATCCACTTTAACACTGTTTATCGTTGGGAAATTCCCCTAAAGATGATTACAATCAGAAATTCTTTGTCAGTGCTCGTCTATTTGGAATTTACATGAAGTTTTTGATTGTTGCGCGGCAGTATGCGAGTATTTGTGTGAGAGAGGCGGTGAGGGATCCAGTTAATAACTCAAAACCACTTAAAATGACTCTCCTCTGGGACGCTCGTAATGGCCTGAGCTTCCTCTCTTCTGGTTAAGGTGGCTGCACAAAGCTGCTGCAGAAAAGGAAAAATAATCATAGAAATGAAACACAAAGCTTCATAATTTTTAAGCTGTTTTGATTTTGAAGATGCAGGGGTACCAGTACAAACACATTTCCAACAGGTCAAATCTAAACCACGGTGGTGTTGTTGTCATTGCATTAATTGGAAAGTGCACTTGTGGTATTTGCATGGCTGCTGATCCTTTGTTTCTCCGCCGGTGTTCTGAGAGTAAAACTGGGTTAACTGAGCTCTGTGCTGTGTGTGTGTGTGTGTGTGTGTGTGTGTGTGTGTCTGGGCCTCCTTAAAACCCACAGTAACATGGCTGCCTGAGTGAGTCAGAGGCAGACACCCAGAGACCACACACAGAGGCCCGGAGCTGCTCAGGGCAACACACACACTCACTCCAACGCAATCATGCACGAACCCAATCACACTCACTACAACGAGACACTCCTGCAGAACCACACACTGTCACTTTTTCACCACTTTCTTCTACCAAACTACATGTCAAACCTGTTGGGGAAAAAAAAACCAAAGTGCTTTCAGTCATTTGTGTCATCCAAACTGAGATCCAGTCAGTTCTGCTATAATCTCGGTGACGGGGGCGTTGGTGGAGCTGTAAGCTAACGTAGAAATGTCATGTTTAGATTGGGGACTTGCGTCAAAGGCCGTTACACATACAGGACTGTTTCTGCTCCCGAAGATTACAGGCGTCAGGTTTCAGGCTGAGAATGTCTCACAACTCGAGGTTTTCATTCGCCGGGCAGAGAAACAGGGAGGAGATGAGAGGTTGTGTTGGTTTTCGCTGCTTCACAGTTATGTTAGACTTTGGGCGAGAGATCCAGTTTGAACGACAGCTCGTCCAGTTCGCAGAAACACAAGGTTTATGTCAAATTACTACATTGTGATAGTGCGTTCAAGTGGACACAAAAACATCCTCAAATTTTGCCATCAGAGCAAATAAAGCTTTAATTCCGACTCCATCAAGACAAGGAGAGAGGGTGAGATTATTTATTGTGCCTACTAAATCTTTTTTCCTCAGTTAGAGAACAGCCACTGTCTGCTCAGTGATAAACCACAAAATATAAACTTGGCCTGTTGCTGACCGGGAGTCACCGCTTCTTCTGTGCTTTAGTTAAAAACTTGTTACACAAGAGAGCAAGAAGTGGATGGATTCAGATGACGCTTACGGGATTTAAATCCTATCAGCCACCAACACATGTACAGAATACGAACCGAGCGCAGGGCCGATGCGGTTTGGCAAACATTTATTTGTGATGGCAGCGCAGCAACAAGTCCACCCTCTGCAGCCATGCAGGCAGTCAGCTGGCTGAAATGAAAGGAGGCACTGACATCATGTGCAGTGTGAGGTCTTGGCAAGACGAGCAAGACACGGCCACAATGAGATGAAAGGTCAGAGCGACGGCGTAAACATGTGTTTGTTTGCACAATGAAGCATGTTTAGTTGAAGTTAAAAGATTATTCTACTTTGTAACGGGTAAAGAGGTAACACAAGCTGTAGGTAAATACACACAAAGTGGCCTGTGTGCGCCACAAAGCTAAACATGTACACATTGTAGGATGCACATTTGCAAACCATGAATAGAAACAACATGTTAAATACAGTGAATTCCACAAAATATAAAAGCGTCATTACTGAGCATACAGAAACCATTCTGTCTGGGTTTTTTGTTTTATTTTTATATAAAAGTCTACAAAATATAGGTTCAGAAATGCAGTTCCCTTTTCAGTTAGTAACCATTTGTAGTAGGATTCAAGCTAAACAAACTACAACTATGAGACATTTTCCACTGCTGGCATCTTTGACAACAAATAAATGATTTTAAAAAATGATTTATTGTACACGATATTGACCGCAGCTCTTCAGTAACATGTAATATTATCCTGAGCACCATCCAGTTCAGCCTCTGTGCACCTGGTTGGGAAGTAAATGCAAGCACAGTCCACGTCCAGCAGGCGGCAGCAGAGTTCTATTTCTCCATCTGTGTCCTTTGCGTGGTTCACGTCCAAGTCAAGTATTTGAAAACACCTTATTCGCTCTGTTAATGAGCTTTTCCAACCATGTAGTCCAACAATCTTGGTCCGGTCTCTCCTGGATCAGCTCCACAGGTCAGAACGGTGCTTTTGATTGTAGTTCTGCAGCTCGATCTGGTCTTTAATCTGGTTTATTAGAATCTGAGACAAGAGGATGCCAACCAGCTGCGGAGGAGAAGAAAAAAAAAACACAACAGAAGGCTCAACATCTGGCAGCAGTGGTTGGTTTCCAACATGTGTGTGTGTGTGTGGTATCCATCATGTCCTACCTGTGGTATTGCCAGTCCCAGTGCAATGCCTCCCAGTAAGAACAGGTTGCTGTGGATCCAGTTGACGAGTTTGTCTATGCAGCCGTTGGTGTGGATGTGGTTTCCAGCTTGGACGTACTCCAGTTCCTGCATCCCCTGACCACACATGGTGTTGATCACCATCTGCAAGCATGGACATATACAAGTAAAACACATGACAACATGGCAAAAAAAAAAACACACACGCAAAATGTTGTCAAAAAGAAGGAAACCTTGTCTTTGGACATGATGCAACAGGAAAAAGGAACAGAACAGCGCTCTCTGCTGGGGTTGTTGTCCTTGCAGTTGAAGTACATGTTCTGGGACCAGTCGGTGTAGGTGACGCCACCACAGCAGCCAAACTGGACAGATGGAAGAGATGAGGAGAATCAGAATCAGTTTCATCGGCAAGTAGGTTTTCACATATGAGGAATTTGATGAGATATTTTGGTGGAACAAAGACAAAAGATTTTAAAAGCAAGTGTTACAAGTCAAATAAACAGCAAGTGTAGCAGATCCAGGGGATTATAACTCATATAAAGCAAAAAAAAATATTTGCAGTGTGCAGAAATGTGTAAATTATTCATCTGAAAATGTGCAAAATTACATAGTCTATGGTGCAAAAGTTCAGGCTGCTATTGTTCTGGTATTTATAATGAAAACAATATGACAAAAAGGCTGCATTTGGACTTAATATTTACCTCTTTCTGACCAAAGTCAATAAGGTTTTGCAGATCGATGTCATCTCTGTAGTGGACGATGGCTTTGTTGATCATCTCAGTCACTTTGTTTCGTGCCTTGAAATAAAATGTAAAAAGTAGTTATGTATATAACAAACACATAATAAGATTCCTAAGTTCCAAATTTACCCCTTCAAGCAAACAAAATGATATTGAACAACCCTGTTTGTGAGCAAACTTTGCTGTTGTATTGAGAGTTTATTCAAATTTTGTAGCAGTTATGGACAAAGTGCAGCAGAGGGCGCTGTTTTGTTCTTTTTCATAATCAAATTCAGCAAAATCTAAAGAAAGAATGTATAAACTAATTTAAAGACTTTTTTCAGGCAAAATTAATATTATTCACCCTCTAACAGATTATTGGTATTGATATATATATTCTTATCACATGTGTTTTATATTGCACCTTAAGGAACAAAACAATATCAATACAAATGATAAGAAAAAGAAACCAAAACAAAAAAGCATAGCAGCCATTACATATAATATGAGCAACCTCACACTCTGCTTGTATTTACACACTTTTTAAAGCTTTAAGTAAAGTGGTAATTTGGAAAAAAAACCCTAAAAAACACATTTTAAAACAACCATCATGAACACATAGCTGAAGAGAAAAGTTCTCATATTTCTTTGATCACCTTATCTGAAAAGACGAAGCCGAGGACGCCGGCAACCAGCTGCAGGATGAAGATCACTGTGAGGCAGACACAGAACTGGGAGGAGAGAAGGGAGTGATGGTTACAACAAGGTTGAATTAATGTTTCACCATGAAGACTCAGTTGTTACCTCACTGGGAGAAAATCTGCAGGAAAGTCAAGACACCTAAGAGCAACTAAACTAGGACTAAGAATACGAGTTTTGCACTACATATGGTCATATGTTGCTGCTTTTGAGGTTTAAAATTTGCACAAAATGTAAATATTAGCATAATATTCTACATACATGTAGCAAATACTGTAGAAATAATCTGGTTCTTTGGGTATAAACATGAAATAAAGCACATGTCTGCATTAAATAAAAGCCTGCTACACATTGAAGGCTGCTTACTGTCTGCAGGAGGCAGATGTTTTCTCGTAAGGAGCCAACGCAGCCGCAGAAGGTGATGACGAACATGAGGACCCCCACGACCATCAGCATTATAGCGGGGTCCACCGACAGACATGCCAGAGCTGCTTCTGAAGCAGAGAAGAACAGAGAGGCTGATGGGAACGGGCAAAGATTTGGCAATGTTACTCCTCTGGGAAGAAAATGCTGGAATTCTGGTTTCAAGCATCTTTTCTTGATTATCATATTACAAACACATTTACAAAATCTTCCTTGTGAAAGAGCCTGAAGCAAACTGACTGTCCTGACATGTGACCAGCCTCCCACCGTCACAGTAAACACGAGGACCACTTACCTGCATGTTTCATCGTGCGAGCGTACACGCCGATCAACACCATCACCAGTGAGATTATCTGAGGAGGATGTGGAGAGACAAGGTGAAAAACCACTACTTCTGTGTTCCTACTTGTCCAGGGAGTGGCACCACTCACCAGAACTCCTGATTACAATAATATGTGGGGCTACATGAGTCATGGATAGAAAAATTTTCCAAAAAATGCACTCAGAGTTAAATGGAAGAACCACAACATTCTTCATTAGGAGTCAGTAATTTAGATTAGAAAGTTCCTCCATCCACTCCTGCTTCCATTTGAATAAATCAACCTGACAGCAATGTGCGCCCTTCCCTTAAATAATAAAGCCCCTTTTCACTCAGCACTCCTCTCCCGGTCTCAATAGAATAATAGAGAGCCCTCAGAAATACTCTTCCCACCCTGAAAGCAGCGGATCCAGTTACCACAGACAGTTCGTGAGGCGGGAGGGCAGAGCTAAGATTTGTCTTTTTTTTTGTCGAGGTTTAGTTTCACAGTGAATAAACCAGACGTGACACCTGAAGCAGAAAATTAAAGCTATTTTTTTGTAGGAGTTTCATCTAAAACTGAGTGGTTAATAATCACCAGGCGTGACTCACCTGGATTATCACACAAACAGGACTGAATGCTCTACATATTCCAGAATGGAAAAGAGCAACAAACTGATTTTTTTGGTGTGTCCTACACAGAGCCTATGGTAGCCTGAGGCAACAGAAATGACAACAACACATTCCACAATGAAGAGTTTCAAGTTTTTACACAGCCTTCACCTGTTTGTACATGGCTGAAACACACTCACCCACTCACACAGGTCTTGTTTAAAAGACATTTCTGCAAATAAATGGATGAAGAAAACCTGTCCGAGAATTATCCCATGTGAGATTTTATAATGTAAAGAAGCACACCTAGACAAAAAAACAACTCTCCGATCTTGTTTACAGGAAGTTGAAACTCAACCACACAGGAAAAAATAATAATCTTCAGTCTGCAGCAACAGATCAGCTCTAAAAATGCTGTAAGAAATCTCCTTATGTTGCAGTCAGCTGACACTGCCACCCCACCGCTGAGCTTTGCTGTTAACCTGGTTTGTCATTCAAATTCTAAAAGCTGCACAATTATTAACATCTCATTGTGGAAGCGTGAGGAAATCTGCCTGAGGAGACACTTTTATCTCCCTCACACGGCCTCTTCAGCACACGAATTAATGGAAAGTGGTGTTTCTTGGCAAGTTGTGTGTTCTCAGGAGAGAAAACAGTGTGTAAAGGCCGTGTGTGGTGCTCGAAACCAACCACAACCTGCTGTTGGTTCGTTACTGATATGACAACAGTGTGTTTGTGCCTTTTGCTGGGCTCAAAACTGTAAAATGATCTGATAAAACATTCCTGATTTGCAATTTAAATGACTGCACACCTGGTTTAGGTGCATGTTAACTTCCTTTCTCTTGTTTCCTGAAACCAGTTTCACTCAAGTGAAGTTAAATAACAACTAAGTCAAACAAAGCAGGGGGTGCTGCAAACTAAACAAACAAGTAAGAAATAGAAGTCTGACATGGCTGGAATGTCTCAGATCAGAAGAAAAATGTCTTTAAAGTGTTAATTTGCAGTTAAAATGTACTTTAATGTGAGTAACTCCAGCTTTGTAATGATTAACCTGAGTAGAAAGTTTGATCTTAATCAGCCAATAATGTGTTCATAAAAGCACGATCACTCACCCAGAATATAAAGTTAAATATGAACAGCAGGTACTTCACAACTGGGCTGACAAACGTGAAGTCCTCTCCTCTGCGTCTGTCTGCCATTGCGCCAAACAGCAGCGCGTCTCATCCAAGTTTGCGCACCGAAGAGCAACAAGCTGAAGAAACGCGATTCCGAAAGTCAAAGAAAAGACTATTCAGCATGTTGGTGGTGACGAGCAGCAGCGGTTTTTTCCTGTCAGGTGTGAACCTACAGAAGCGGTGAGGAAGTCCTGCAGCTCTGCCCGTGCCCGACTCTGTTTGGGTGTGTAGAAGCTGGGTGTCAACGTTCAACCGGTGATCATATGATGCAACCTGCAGCACAGCAGGAGCTCCTCAACTTCACACAACCCCAGGACTGATTTTTTTGTTTTTTATTTTTTAATGATAATTAGGCAAAAGATTTGAGTATTTCAATATTAACAATCTATTTGAGACATACAGGCTGCCGATTTAATTTGTTGTTACACTGTCCATCTAATGAACTTTGTATAAGTTCCTCTTTTGTCATGGCTGCACCATCATGACAGCGTTTTTGGTACTTTTTTTCTTGCATTCACTTTGTTAAGGGGAATTTTTACATTAGTTTCACTTCAGTTTAAATAAGTAAACACAAAGTGTTTGGCCTTAGAAGTCGCAGCACACAATTGTTAAAGTCCCAACACTGAATCTGAAAATTGGACCCAATTGGAGTTACCCACAAGGGACACTCATGCCTACTGGAATGGTCTCACATTTAAGATAAGATAAGATAAGATAAGATAAGATAAGATAAGATAAGAAAAATAAGGTAAATTAGAAAGAAAATTGGGTAGTACAAAAAAGGGGAAATCAGCTAAAAAAATAAACAGGAAGTGTAAATACTGCTGATATTGTACAGATTCTTCAACATGTAGAAACTCAGATTTTGCACAGATTCCTTTCAATGTGAACAACAATAATATCACACAGGATAAATATGTGTTAATGTGTAACACATACAATGTGTTTCTTCCATGAGTTGAAAAATAATGACATTAAAAATACTAATATGCACACATTCTTTTTAATGCAGAAAAAAGTATATCTGACAGAGCATTTAAATGTTCTAGGTGGGTTCAAATGACCTGATGTTGCACCGAAGTATGTCAGGTTGAGCCTCAGGCCTTTGGGCACCCAGTGGGAAGCCCACACCACCACATGGGTTACCTACAGTAAAACTACATGGAGGAACTTAAATGTGGTGTCCTCAGTGTGGCCCAAAGGGGAGAAGGGCTACAGATCCATCGAAGACTTAACTGCCATAGTTAAAACCCAAGCATGGAAGATCCACAGTGAATCCGACCCACAGTAGCTTCTTTGCTGTGGTGGAATACTAAAACTTCAGTTTACTGAAACCTGGATGGATTTGCTTCAGGAAGCAACATTTATTAAAAATGTGTATTATACTGCTAAAACATCCCACTTTTTTCCCCCGCAGCAGTCAGATATGTAAAACCTGTTCATAATGACCACTTATTTGCTGTAAAGTGTCTAAGATGTGACAAGACGGTGAGTCAACATGAGCTGTAGCAGGACCTGTAAAGCTGTAGTTAATGGAAAACTTCCACGATGGAATTGAGTAATCTGGGAAAAGAACAGTAGACCTAATGCTTCTGACTAATAATTCATGAGATGCTAATAGTCTTCCTGGTTTAACTTTCCTTTAAATACTTCAACATCCTTTGTATTTACATTTTGGAGGAGGACATTACAGTGTCTGACTTTCATCAACTGTTAAAAAACGAAAATAAACAAGAAAAAAAAAAAAACCCTATCACGAATAACGTCCTTACTGAGCTGTTCCTTCAGTGGGGACAACTATTAACACAGATTACAGTAAAGCTATTTTAGAAAATTAAAGCTTAAATATAGGATTTATTTATTTTACTAATTTTGTTTTGCTCTATTTTTTTTAAATGTATAATTAGTAACAAAAGTTAACCATATGTGTTATTTCCCAGTATGCACACCGAACCACTTATTTGCACATAACTTATTTCTTCTCCATTTCTCTAATTATGTTTTTTCGCGTATTTTTTGTCACGGTAACATTTATTTCCTGTGTCTAAAAACTGAACCGAGCTTTTATTTCGAAGGAGAAGCACACGGCGCCACATTTTCACAACATCCGTTTATCCCGGAAGTAGTTCCTCTGCTTGATAACATGAAAACAGAAGTGGGATTTATTTCGCTGTTAAGACGTTTTTAAACTCGGAAAATGGCGTGGAAGAGCAAAGGTTTGAACGACTGTTTATTTATCTGTGTGTTCATAACAGTAGCCACCTCCCTGAGCTAATGATACAGTAATTAAAACACCTGGGATGTGAAGCTAACGTTAGCTAACGCTCTGTGCTGGGAGGTGAAGTTGAAGAAAAGGCGGATGTTAAAGTCTATTTGAGCCTCTGTTGGTAAAACTAACTTTACCTGCTTGTCTCCACTGTGTTTTTATTTATTATTATTATTTTTTTATACAGGCTCTGCTCTTCCTCCAGCCTCCTTACAGCTGCTCGTCCCTCCGGTGAGGCTCCTGTCCGCCTTCATGTGGCAGGTGGTGCAGCAGCACAGTGTGATGCAGTATGACAAGCTGGTGGACTTCATCAGTCTGGTCACTGAGATGGTTCCTGAGCTGCTGAATCCCAGTCAGAAGGCTCAGCTCGTCCTGGGCCTGAGAGCCAGGGTGCGATATTACTCTTTCTCTTAGTCAGACTTACGAAATATGATGGTACAGTCATTGTCCTTTGCATTTCTGTTGCTCCACAAAGAAGAAATCTATTTTTATTGCTTCTTCACCTTGCTTTTATCTGCCAGCATAAAACTGCAACAATTAATTGATTAATCAATTAGCTGTCTGCTATTTAATTACCAGGCGACAGTTTTGATAATCAAGTAATGTGTTTGAGTAATTTCTTCAGGAAGAAAAGTCAGTTTCCAGATAAGTTAATTTGATTATCGTCTGTTTTCTTTACGTCTTTATGACAGTAAAATTAACATCTTCAAGTTGTGGATAAAACAAGACATTTGAAGACATTATCTGTGGCTTTAGGAAACATAGCAAGATTTTTCACAGTTGTTTGACATTTTATAGACCAGACAGCTAATCAATCAAACAATAATATCATCGACAAATTAACTGACAGTCGTTAGTTGTAGCCCTACTACAAAAGAGATCATGTTTTTAGATTTGAGAAGTTTCTGGTAGAAGAAATAGGTGCCTTTAAGTTAGTCTCTATTAATCCCACAGCAGAGAAGAGGGCAGTGCAGTGTGTAGGGAACATCAGCAAAAATGTAAATAAACACAAATTATACATAACTGTTAATATTTTACAGATTCTTCTCCATGTGAAAGTTTTTTGCTCAGATTCATTTGGATGTGAAAAATAATGATATTGCACAGATTCTTGCACAAGTAGAAAATACTGATATTGCAAATTTAATTTTGTTACATCAATGGAAAGATAATTCTGATAATATATTTTACCCTTTAGAAAACATTTTTCTGGTTGATGAGCACAATCTTACTTCAAGCAGCTCTTGGTGTTGTAGCTAGTCGCTTATTTTAACCACTGTAGGTCAGATGGAGGAACCTTTAAGTGCTTTCAATCTGAACATTTCTATACATTGCCACTGCATTTGTTTTTGCATTTGAAGCACGTTGGGTTGGGTGAAACACGAGGATAATTATTCCTCCCTGTAGCTGCATTAGTTATATCATTTTGGTGTGTTCTGTTACGTGTTCAAATCAAATGTTTTTGCTCATAGTGGAAATCCATCTTTTTCCGTTCTGCGTCGTGTTGTTTTGACTCACCTGTTTCCCACCTTTTTCCTGCTGCAGCTGGTTCTGGAGCTTTGTCGTGGCGATGGAGTCGCCAACCTGCAGACCATCCAGAGCCACCTCGATAAAATCCACACCTGCAGCGCTGAACTGAGCTCCAGTGATCAGATGGTGGGTTTGTATGGACGAGTTAGAGCTGCTTCATCCACAAAACTAAAGAATCTATATCCAACTAATGTGACTTTTTAAAAAATAGATGTCTTAAAGAAGATCAGTAATAGACACGCACATAACATTGAAATGCAAAGTAGTTAGTAGTTTTTCAACTTTATTGTGTCCACTTCTTGACAGG